ACCGCGCCCGGCACCAGGCCGTGGAGAGCCGCGGGCGCGATCGGGTGGGGCTGCAGGTCGGAGGGGAGCTGCTGGTGCTGCTGGTGCTGCTGGTGCGGGTGCAGAGGGGGAGGGGGCAGGCTGTAGGAGGGCTGGGGTACGGGGTAAGGGTAGTGGTTCATGGGGTGCTGGTAGTCCATGGGGTACAGGAAATCGGGCCTCATCCTCCCTGGCTCCGCCATGCCCTCCATCTCCAGGGGGGGCTCCCCGTCGCTGTACCCCAGCCCCGCCTCCGCCGCCCCGCCACCGTATGGGGGGGCGCCCCCGGCCGCGTTCCCCGGAGAGGCCAGTGGGGGGCTGGACCCCAGGGACAGTCCCGAGTCGGACTCCGGGTCGTCGGAGGGGGGCGGGTGTTTGATCGGCCCCAGTCCCGCCCCCGGGGGGCCCCGCCCCTGCCCGGCGCCCATGAAGGGGGGCGCCCCCGCCTCGCCGGCCCCCCCCAGGCTCATGTGCTCCAGCAGGCTCATCAGCGGGGGCTGCAGGGAGTGGGAGTGGGAGTGGGAGTGGGAGTGGGGGTTGGGGAGCAGCCTGGAGCCCGCGTGTCCGTACAGGGTCTCGATGTTGCTCCCCAGGCGCTGCAGGCTGCAGGCTGGCGCCCCCGGGGGCATCGCCTCCGTGTAGGGGCTTTCGAAGGCGTCGCCCGGACCCGGGCCACAGCTGGGCAGCGGGGGCTCCAGGGGGGGCTGGCTCAACCCGAAGCCCACCGGGGTCAACTGGGGGCACACGGGCTGGTAAGCTGCCTGTTCGAACGGGCTCTCGCCTGGCACGTCGAACTCCTGCGTGCAAGGGAGAGAGGAGGAGAGGTCAGGGGTCAGAGGTCAGAGGTTGGGGGGGGTAGCACGGTAGTCCTGTCTGCAGCGTGTGGCACGACAGGGTTGCAGCACAGCGATCTGGCGCATCAGATGAGAGCCTTCAAATCCGTGCGTCACGTACAGGAGGTGAAACACACGCCCCCCCGCACCAGAGATCCCTCTCAGGTGCGCTCAGGTTTCTCTCAGGAACAGATGGGCATTGTGCTGCGGGGAGGGGGGGGTGGGGAGTTGGGGGTGAGCCTTACCCTCCCTCTCTCCCCCCCCCTCTTCGTTTATCCCTTCATCACTCAATCAGCCCATTGTTGCACAGCTTATCTCTGAGGCCTGAGCGCTGCGTGTATGTGCGTGTGTGTAAAATCAGTAAAACGTGCAGCCTGTAAGACGCTCTAAAAGAGTGGAATAATTCCGCAGGCTCCTACAGGGCAGGTCCTAAAACACGCCAGGGCGGATCTCCCCCTGCTGCATCTCCTGCACAGCCCTGGGGTCGACCGCTGTCGACTGGAGCAGCCGAACAAAACACTGAAGGCGACGCCTTCCTGTCGGCCGCCACACAGGGGCGCTACAGTGACAGCTGGTCTGTCAAAACCACAGTGTCGGGGGAGAACAGAGCTAGGAAACTGGGAACATGTGAAAACACGGGGAGAAGGTTTCCTCGGGCGCCCGCGGCACACGCTCCTAGGCCCAGTGCGTCCGGGGTGTCCAAACCAGGTCCCGGTGACCCCGATCTCGGTGGGATTTGTCCCAGCTGAGCCCTCCACCGGCTCCTCGGACACCACCTTCGGCGGAGTACGCACGAGTTGTGCTCGGGTTCAGAACCTGCCGAGCGCTTTGAGGAGGAGGGGTGAGGAGCCCTGTCCCCGCGCGCACCTGTAGCTCCGTGATGGCCATCAGCTCCTGCCAGGTGAAGTCCATCTCCGCCTCCGGGAGGGGGCGGTGCGGGCGAGCCGGAGGCACAGCGGTGGACATCGGTACACCCCCATGGAGTCTGCCAGGGTGGGCCAGCCCCTGAGAGAGAGAGAAAACTGAGTCTGTCTCCCAATCATGCTCCATCTGCCTACAGTATACGTAAACATTTTATGATATGTCTTTGTTGTAAATGTCTGTAGATTTTTTTTAACTTTGATTTTTTGTTTCATGTGAATTTCATTAGTTTTATTTGCTTTGGCAACACTGATTGTACCCATCGGTCATGCTAATAAAGCACCTGGAATTGAACTGAACTGAATTGAATCGAGAGAAAACACAGTCGATTCTGTACCAGCACAGATACGGAAAAAAATGTGTTTGTCCAAGAAAGCAAAAGACGTGTGCTAGGAATTATGGGAACTATTCCCATAATTCCCTTATTGCCCGTCAGGCCCCAGAGAGACGGCCCGCTCACCTCGCAGTTTCTCCGCAGTGGGAGGATGCAGTTGGCAGCCGCGCACATTCAGGACGCGATGGAGCAGCGACAGCTCCTCCTGGAGCGGAGAGATAGACAGAGAGGAGGCGTTATCGACGGGGGACACAGTCCCACGGCCAAGGCCCCGAACGACAGGAGCCAGCAGACAAGCCTGTCCACTGTGAAGCCCAACAGAGCAACTGGGAGTCATTGCTCAGAGGGTGACTCTTCAGAGGAAATACCCGCGCCACCCTCCCCCAACATGCATAGAAGAAGTCACATAAACATCGCTGTTTTATGCCATCGGCCAAAGTAGGGTAAAGCGCAGTGGAATCATTGTAAAAACGTGGCCAAGCAAAGTATTTACATGGTGTCAATAGTGCTGGGTAACATGTCACTGCGATGTCATGGAGGCCAAGAGTGACCACTGCTGGATTTGCACCAGGCTGGTGATCCCCACTGCGCATGGAGAGGCGGGAGAGAGCAGGAATGGGAACCAAGGAACGCTGCCGACGGACGGAGACCCTCCGGACCGCCTGAGGCTGGTCCGAGGACCGCGGTGCGCCCCGTCGCTTCCCGGAAGCAGTCAGAGCTCCGTCTCCGACAGCGGGGCCTGCCTGCGGGATGGAGCTCCAGACTCGCGCCTCCCGTTCACAGTCTGCACAGGCCCTGGGCTCCCCCAGAGCCCCCGGTGTGCGTTTCCCTGTTCGTGCCGAAGGAGAGGACAGCTGGGCGGATCCTGAACTGATTCGCCCTTCAAGACTGAAGAGATTCAGTTCACGTGGCCCTTGAGCCTGTGAGACGAGCCGGTGTTGGAGTCGTACTTCACTGGGCGCTGGCGAGCTGGGAAGGGCAAGACAACGTGCAGCAGGACAGAGAGGAACCACTGTGCAGGATATTGTATTATAAACGTCTGTAGATGTTGTTCTGATTCTATATGCTTTGGCAACACTGTCATTTATCAGTCACGCCAATAAAGCTGGTTCCGTTTGAACTTGAAAGGTGTCGAAACTTCGATGGAAATCATTTGGAGGTTGGGGACAAAGCACTGGAGAAACCCTGTGTGTCTGGTATGTGATTGTGTGTGCTCTTCCATGTGTCAGGCATGTCTGGCAGCCAGTTCCGAGTACTGCGGAGTGAGAGGGCTTCTCAGTATCAGCCGCCCTGCGGGCCGCTGTGCTGGACTCTGATAAGACTATCTGCTGCCTCCCAGCCGCTTCCCTGACTAACGGACTCCGGGGGCCTGGCTGGGCTCTTCAATGTGTTTAGCTTTCTGGCCTCCCGTCTGTCCCCCTCTGTGGGTGTCAGGGCCTTCTCCCGCTGCGCCCCACATCTCTGGAACTCTCTCCCCATAGATCAGAGTCACTTCTCCTGTGCACTTTCACATCCAGACTCAAAACCTGCTTCTTTAGAAGGGCTTTTTTTTTACCGGTTCTGTGTCTGCCAATTTTCTCGTTCGGCCCTGCAGTCAGTCAGCTGTGTGGGGGAGCTGGGTAACGGAGCATGCTCCAGACGGACTCCCCAGCTCCTGGTGAAATGGGAAATAAAGCACAGCCGGCCAACCAGGCAGTGAGTCTTGGGGAGGTGGGAGGAAGCTCCCAGAAAACACCCCTGTGAACACATGGTCGAGACCATGCAGACTCCACACAGACAGTCGCCTTGGGCAGGAAACTGAACTGGGCACCTGGGAAGGAGCAGGCCGCTCTGCCACGCCCCCTTCCCTGACCCTCGGAGGGCCTGCTGTCCAAGGTGCTCGTGCAGAGCAGCCCAGCAGCTCCTGGGCTCATTATTCAGGGTGGGCTCTGCTGTGGAAATGACATCTAGCTCTCTGTCGAAAAGGAGCCGTGCTGTGTGTGAGTGTGTGGGCATGTTTGCGTGTGTGTGTGTGTGAGTGTGTGAGCATGTTTGTGTGTTAGAGCATGTTTGCATGTGTGAGTGAGTGTGTGAGCATGTTTGCATGTGTGTGAGCATGTTTGCGCGTGCGAGAGTGTGTGTGAGTGTGTGTGAGTACGTTTGCGTGTGCGTGTGAGTGTAAGTGTGTGAGCATGTTTGCATGTGTGAGCATGTTTGCGTGTGTGAGTGTGAGTGTGTGAGTGTGTGAGCATGTTTGCGTGTATGAGTGTGAGTGTGTGAGTGTGTGAGCATGTTTGCATGTGTGAGAGTGTGTGTCCATGTGCGCATGGAGCACATGCCTGAGCTGCTCTGGCCGTGGTGAGTGAGCTCAAAAGGGGCGTGCCGGGGCCCAGGGGTGCCCCTCAGAGGGCAGGTTGAGCCTCATAGCCCAGACACCCCCATGTTCATTGCATGGGCGCACAGCGGCCTGCTGCGATTAGCGCAGGGCCCCCCCAAGGGCGGGGGCCAGACGGCGCGGCCACAAGGAGAGGAGTGCAAGGAGCTATCCCAGCTCACCCTGCGACTGGTCACACAGCTCTGGATCAGGGCTCAGGGTGATGTCAGCGACCCCGTGACTCCGTGGCCACATCAGGAACATGGAATAAGGGATAAAACTGTTGGGTTGGATCCAGGGAAATCGCTTTTTATATCATATGCATGTGTCTGGTGGCCCGTGGCGCTGTGGTCAGCATTGCCGCCTTAGAGCACTGGGGTCCTCGGTTAATTTCTAGACCTGAGGTGCTGTCTGTGTGGAGTTTGCATGATCTCCCTGCATTCATGTGGGTTTACCTGCTATCACAGTCCAGAGACATGTGGGTAGATTAATTGGCTTTGGTCAAATTGGGCCCGATGCGAGTGTGTGTACCCGTCTTTGTGTGTGTGCCCAGTGATGGACTGGTGTCTCCAGCTCCCACGTGACCCTCAACTGGATTGAACAGGGTAGAAAATGGCGTTTACATCTTTGATTTCTGGAACGGGAGGTGAGGGTCTCCTGCGCTAGTTTCTTTCCTGCCTGTTCCAGGTCCGCGGGGGAAAGGATGAGGGGCTTTGACTGCCTGCACAGTCCGAGCGGCGCGTCCCCTCCACTCGGACGGTCCCTCTTCCCGCTCTCGCAGCACGTGCGCCCTGGCGCAACGCGCGCTCGCGACGCCTTGCTCCTGTGGTCCGAGTCAAGAGGCTGATGAGGCGCGTTCCTCTGTATTTCTAGTGTTCAAATAAAATATATATATATTTTTTTAAAAAAGCAGTTCTTTTTTTTCAGTTCAGATTTTTGTTCTTTCTTACTTATAAGTAACGTTACGATAACGGATGGGGGCGGATCAATCCCCGCAATAACGCAGATTTCTGCGTCGCTGTTTCTCCACGGACGCGGGCTTGAGTGACTGATGGGGTCCGACGCGAATTGTTTTCTGATGAGCTTTTTCTGTCTCTCCCTCGCCTTTGTCTCCTTTGTTGCGCTTTGTTGTCCTCTTTGGCCACGAAACCAAATAGCTTGTTTACCGGAGAAGAGTCTCTCCCAGTCACAGCACAATTACGCCTCCCTCCTTGCGAGAGTGTTTATTTATGTGAAGGAAGATTTCAGTTTGTATGGAAGGAATGCGTTTTTTCATCTCCGGGTTAGACAGAAGAGGTATTTTATTTCTGCTCCTGGCTCGGATTTCAATATAGCCTTGCGGATTGTGTGCCGCGAATCAGCCACCTTGGCTCTCAAATTCCGCCCGAGCTCTCGGAATGCTCTCCGCGGCTTGTGAGCAGCGATCGCAAATAAACACACTTCAAACGCACACGCAATCCGATGTATAAACGATTGTAATTGTTTTTGTTTAAGAAAACAAAGGGGGTATCGTCATTAAATGATGTTTGCAGACTGCAGATTTTTCTAATTCGAACATTTCGCTTGCGAAATGCGGAATCCTGTTTAAAGAATTAGAATGAATTTGTTAGTGCAGTGCTGTTCTGAACTGAACTGTGCTACACAGCATTGAGCTGCACTATTCAGCAACTATCCTGCAAAGAACTGCATGCAACGTGATGCTCTGTAATGTATGCACGACTGTAAATGACACTGATCTACACTGCAGCTGACTGCACTGTACTACAGTACTTCACTGGACTGGACATGCAGAATCTGAACTCTTCTGCACTGGACTAGACTGCACTGTACAAACACTGGACTGCACAGGACTGTACTACACAGGACTGAACTGTACCACACTGGACTGCACTGTACTGTACTACACAGGACTGTACTATACTACACTGGACTACTGTACTACACTGGACTGCACTGTATTGCACTGCAGTACTGTACTTCACTGGACTATGCAGAATTTGAACTCTTTTACACTGGGCTTGCCTGCTGTGCTGGGCTGGACTGTAATACACTGGGCTGCACTGTGATGGATTGTACTACACTTGACTATACTGGACTACTGAACTACACTGGGGTGGATTATACTACACTGGAGTACTGAACTACACTGGACTACTGTATTGCATCAGACTACACTTTGCTACATTGCACTGGACTGAACTGTACTACAGTACTACAGTCAACTGGACAGCACTACTGTGGAAAGAACTGAACTTCACTGGACTATATTGGACTGTCCTACAATGGCTTAAACAGAACTGTCCTGAAAAGGACTAGACTCTCTGTGCTCTACTGCACAGTGTTGTCCACTCTCACTCACCACACTTCACTGTGCCATTCCACACTGTATCACAGGTGTTGTGCAGGAGCGTACTGCAGAACCACATTCAAGAGGCTGCAGAGATGCTCCGCAGTACTGCATCTTTTTATTACAGAACTGTTGCTGCTGCCCAGTGCAGTGCTGGGTGCCGTACTGTACTGTGCCTTTCTGTGCGTTTTGCAAAAGCCAGTTTAGAGATAGGACGTCAGTGCTGTCGTTGCCCCAGCTGTGTCTCTGCGGCGGATTTCCTCCAGCATTCGCACGCCGCGCTGCAGGAGAGCAGGGCAGCCATCTCTCCGACAGGCTCTGTTTCGACATTACGTGTTGCAACAACACGTTAAATAAAAAAAAAACAACTGAGAGCCAGTTTCCTGGAGCTGATATGCCGAGGGCTGGCTGTGGTTTGAGTCTTTGAGAAATGAAAAATAACAGCCTGGGACTGCAAGGAATACAGAACGCCAGTGCAATGCTTTCAAACTTTGTAAACGTTCCTCACTGCACGAGCGATCGAGAAACAACACTGCTCTCTGTGTCTTTTTAATTGCTACCCTTTCCATTGCTGCACAATGGGCCAGTGACTGCGGAGTGCGCTCTAGAGATCTGCCTTCACTTCTGAGCCTGCACTTCAGGCTCAGATCCACAGCTGGACCAGTGATGCACAGCACTGCTCCTCCAGGAACACAGCCCAGTAGGTGTCACAGGTCTGTTTAAATTGCCACCCGCTTCAGAACTGGCAAAAAGGTTCAAACTGCTCCAGTTCAGGAACACATGGATTCGGCTATGCAGTCAGGATTTCCGATGCAACAAAACTCTCCAAAGAGTTGTGTCCCTGGTCTGTATCAGTAGTGCCTGTATAGAAACAGACGCACCAGCACATCTCGGGGCTGTAGTCATTCCTTCCTACAGCTCCCTCTTAATCCGCCTGGAGCAGCAGTGTCTCTCTCCTCCTCTCAGCTGCTGTGTGTCACCCATGGGGGGCTGCACTTCAGGGGTGGATGATGCGAGTTCCCTGTCAGAAAGCACCTTTGAAGCGCAATGAAAAGCACTCAGTAAATCAGCGGGTTATCACGATCCAGCTCTACCAAGTGCCAGGAATGCCCTTGTGGCCTGACGGAGCTCAGTCTGGTCAGCTCGGAAAAACAGCCTCCATGCTGCCTCAGAGCCTCAATCCAAACAGCACGTCTCCTGCTGAGTTGATCCTTCGTTGAGTAAAGATAAAGACACAAAGACTCATGGAGGCCACAGCAGGGATATTCCGAGACAACATCCTGCTGCGTCCTGCCGCAGACGAGTGCTTCCAGAGCTGGGAACTATTTGGAACAGGGACTCAGCAAGATGCAAGAGACTCAGTGCAAGAGCCAAGCTCAGTCTTCCCTGGAGCTGTAACACACCGACCCCAGGCAGTGTCCCGGGATACAGGACTGGGGAACCGTCTGCCCTATTTCACATTACCGGATTTGTACCCTGCGGATCCCTGCTTTATCCTCTTCCTGGCTTGGCCTGAGCTCTCCCGTTCCGCACTGTTCAATTCCCAGCTAGCCTTTCTTCTGTTTAATTCAGCTTTATTTAAACGAATTGGGAGGACTGCTGTCTGCAAAACCACAAGCACTCTTAACGTATTCGAGTATCTTTTCACAGGTCGATGGGTTTGAAATCCACTCTGGCAATAATATTATTAATAACCTGTATTGAATACAGCGCCTTTCACGGTACATCATCTGAAGGTGTGTTGGAAAAATGGCTAGCTGAGTTTATTTTGGGAATGTCCTGGGTACCACAAGCTATATCTCCGAGGATGTGTCCTGGAGTCTGGATGCCTGCGTCGGCGCGAATTGGAAAAGCCTACAGTGTCCCAGCCTTGTACCGGGCCAGATATCCCATGATTCCTGGAAAACACTGTGCTGGATTGTCACTGCCCAGCACCCACAAAAAAAAAAAAAGAAGAAAACTGCTTGAATTTTCTCCAGCGAATGGGAAAGGCGCACTCCCTAGTGAACATCTGCTCTTCTTCTGCCTTACAACTGTCAGTTCCCCCTGCGCCGGTTCGCAGGAATGTTCGGAGCAGGAATGTTCGGAACAGCGCAGGGCACTCTGCGCTAATCCGGCCCGTTTTATTGCTGGAACGTGACCTAAGGGTCCGACCTGGACGTCACCGGGCCGACTCAACTCTTGTACTCGCGACTTCGGCTCTCTTCGTGGTTGGACCCATCCGGGCTCTTTATACCGGATACCGGCACCGAGGCCCGAGGCACCATTTTAAAAAATCCGATTATTTTCCAGCCGAGGAGCTGAAAATGTGTAAGAGCCCTCGGAAGTGCAGACAGGGTCAGACGGGCCGCGGTACCGAAGGGCTGGACTGCGGCCCTGGCTGGCCCCCATGTGGGGGGCGGATGAGGCGGCCTCGGCCGCAGTGCTCACCAGCCCGTGCTCAGCCAGGGGACCGGCGTGCCCCCGGAGGAAAGGCGGACTTCCCCAGTCTAGAGGCAGAGCCCCGGGAGAGCGTGTGACACAGTCAAGTGGAAAGCCCCCCAGGAGTGCGCAATTATGACACAAATCTACCGCTGACGTTTTTTGATAAGCATCCTGTATAGGTGGGTATACCAGAATATTCAGATATATATCAACAGTAATTCATCTAGCCAACGCATTGATTCATCACAAAGCGCATTCAGTGGACTGTGAAATATGAACAGGGTAACGTTCATAATCTACAGCTGTACGCCAGTTAACGCCACAGTTCACACGGTAACATCCCCTCATGTAATAAGGTACAAAAATTAGACCACAGGGCTCGCAGACACAGCCTGGGGCAGGGTTTGAGGAAAACTGACAGCTATCTTCCTAAAGGCAGCAGAGCAACAGGCGTGAGAACACCTGTTAGGAAGTACAAACACACCTGTCCCGTTTTAAAAGAAGATTCAGCTGAGAGACACCGTGCATTTTCATTCCCTCATTTACAGTAGATTCATATTGCAATGCATGCATAATGCATGAATTCCCCGTTACAGAGTTTTTTAGGTCCTAAGTTTGATTGCTCTCTGTGAAGTTATATGCTCTCTTTCTAGATAATTTGATGCAATTAGTCTGACTCTGCACCATACACTCAATAGATCATGCGTTTCTTCGACTATACATCTTGTCAGTTTGACTGAATCCCGGCATGTGAGTTCTGCTACCCTCTTTAGTGTCTGCGAGTCAGATATTTTTGCTCACACATTGAGTGAAACTGTGTTTGCACACAGAATTCGCCTGTGACAATATCCTGAATTGTAAGAATAATTCTATAAAACAGACAGGGGTAGCACTGGTGACTATGGCTGATTTAGAGTCAATCAGTAAGACAGAACAAAATACACTCAGCAGAGACCCGATCCAGCAGACTGCAGCTGTGAAAGGCTGTGTAAAAATACATTACTTACACAGCAGTAGTCCATGTATATCCAGACAGGCGGCTCACTGTTAGAGAGAGTGGCTGTGCTCTCCGAGTCATCAGCCTCAAAACACTGTATTCTACAAGCTCATTAAGTACGTTAAAGGCCAGAGAAACTGGTGGGCTGTCTCTCTCATGGGGGAGTCCTGTCAGCCCAGAGACCCAGCAACAGGTGCCCTTTACAAAACACGGAGCTACACATTCCTTTTAATCAAGAGGCAGGTCCAGGTACGCCAAGTGTTCTAATTTCATTAACACCTTTTTCTCCAACAGCCAATGAAAATCCACTACTGCCTCCACCAGCCAGCCTCAGCGCCTCCTGAAAACCCACAGACCCCACTCGAGTGCCGGCATTTATCCCTTTTCTTCTCTACGCGAGTCTGAAAACGAATTGTTTTTTGCCTTCTGCCAAAAAGGATGCAGACTAGTAAGTCTAAACTTAGCGGCGTTATTATCTGGAGCAGTTTTTGGAAGAAACATTTACAATAATACAATAGGCTGTATCTTGGTAGCAACCTTAGACGCCTTGTTAAAAAAAAAAATCTGAAGACATTTTAATGTATTTTTGAGTTTTAAAAAACAATGTATCCTTTCTTTTCCGGACTGCTGGGAAAAACCGTTCTGGCGCTGAAAGCTACACAAAACTGCAATAATTCCTTAGCAGAGCTTTGAGATTGCCAGCTCCATCATCGTCACCATCATCCTGATCCTCAGTACTGAAGTTTTTCTGCGTCTTTTCTCCTACAGTTCTGCATTCTGCACCCAGCATGTCCGCGGACCCACATCTCGTTCTGCGGCCATCCTGTACACAGGCCCTCCTGCACTGGACACACGAGCGCCAGTATCACAGAGCTCTGGACCCTCTGGCCTCTGCCCAGCTCGCAGAGGCAGGGTCCGTCAGCAGTCCTGTCCCTCGGACCGCGGCCGGGACGGACGGCGGGCAGGTGCGGAGGTCGGGCCTCAGCCGGCCGCGGCGCCGCGGATCTTACCTGAGCTGCATGTCCGGGAGGCTGGGGTTCGGACAGGTGGGCCAAGGATGACACCCTTCAGGCGGGGGGTGATAGTCCCGGGAGCTGGGAGAGAGGGGATGGGGGAGACTCCTGTGGCTCCGTGGGCTGGCCGGCTCCTGGCGGTGGCCGTTACATGTCCCCGGCGGCCGCGCCGGTTCCTCTCTCTCTCTCTCCCCCGTGTGTGTGAGTGCGTGCGCGCTCCCCGCTTGACAAACTCAGAAAGCCACACCGCCTGTCCCCGCTGGCTGATCTTACATAACTGGGATGGGTCTCCGATGTAACAACCTTTCCTGCAGCGCACAGACACACTGACACACACATACACATGCGCTCGCTCACACACACACACCCACCCTCTCTCTCTTATTTCCTAACTCACCGCCCCCCCCCCCCCCCCATCCAACCTCCCCTCCAACCAGCCCGGCTCT